TGGATTGCCAATCGATCCTCCAATATTCTCTATTTAATGCCGTGTTTGAGATGTTGAAAGCAGTCTGTGAAGGACTGCCAGGAAGGAAAGGCAAAGAATTAGAGGCTATTCCCCCATAGAACCTATGTTAGAATTGAGGAAACAAGATATCTACACATAAGATATAAGTAACAGTAAAAATAATGTGTGATTAGCAATTGGGAGCCAGAGGGGAGCTCCAGGAACAGAGAAGACCACAGAAGCACCAGGCTCTTTCCATGAGGATCCCAGGCCTTGAAAGGGGGACCGGTCCCCAAGAGACAGTGGAAGGGGAGGGCATGCTGGGTGGAGAATCAGGGGACAATGTGAGCAAGCCAGAAGGCGGCAAGTGGCAGTCTCTCAGACTGGAGTAACCATTTTCATAGGAAGTAAGAGGGCGCACCTGGTTGGGTACACGTCACAGTGGCCTTAAATTTGGCTGGAAGTGGGACAGGGTGGGGGAAGGAGGTTGGACTTATCAGGGACACAGTGAAGAGAGCGAGTGTCCCATACTGCATGGGGCTTTGTGGGGTGACTGGAAGCAAGATTTCAAGTATGGCGATCAGTTTAGGGATCATGGGGGTGACAGATGATACATTCACCCCAGAACTATTCTGATTGGTAGGGGATCTAGATTCTGCGGAGTGACAAATTTCCTATGTGGTATTGGAAAGGGTGGGTGCAGGGCTGTGAATGCTTTAGACCCACATCTGTGTGAGGCCTAGTTCTTACGATCTGCTTCATCTATCCATGGAGGCTGGCCAGGCCTGGGCAGCTGTGGGAACTCCGATCGAGGGACAGAGTTGGTTTTTGGCCATGGAGCGGCAGAGGTGGGGGAGGGGGTGGTAGTGGTGGTAAGGGAGGCACAGGTCTTGTGGAAGGGCTCACCATCAGGTGACATTCCAGCAGGCTCTGCCCAAAGCTTGCTTCCGGGTACATTTCCAGAGGGATCACCCAAGGGTAGCCAGTTGTGGCGAAGGAGTGGTTAAGTCACCTGGTTTCTGAACCCTAGCTCCTTACTTAAAGGGGCCATGGTGGTATCTGAGTCCTCTCAAAATAACCAGTCTCTGCTGCTCCAAGCAGGAAGTCCTGTGGGCCCAAGAAAAAGGGAGACTTGGGGTCTGGCATGGCAGCTGGGGCAGCGGGGATGAATGACAAGCCTGGGAATGAGGAGAGATGAAATACAAACTGTTTACTAGCAGGCTATGAGCCAAATGGGGCTCCCAGCACAGGTTCCAGGCCCCTGCACCCCCAGCCCTCAGCTCAGGGAGGGACAGCTTTCACTCCACTGGGACCCAGTTATAATGCCAGGGGCTCTAACCCCTAAAAGGGGGAGGGGGGCAGGTGGCCCATGCATGGCTCCTCAAATGGATTCTACAAACTGAAACTGTCATCCAGGATGCCTGCTCCCTGGGGACCCTGAAAGTCCCTCTGGGAAACACAAATGGCCTCTGGCACTCTCCTCTAAGCAGGTTCCTCAGGGCAGTCTTCAAAAAAAATTGGGGGTGGGGAAGGCCACCCACTGCTGGCTCACACCTTTAATGCCAGCTACTCTGGAGGCTGAGATCTGAGGATCAAGGTTTGATGCCAGCCCAGGCAGGAAAGTCTGTGAGACTCTTATCTTCAAAATACTACCAAAGGGCTAAAATGGAGCTGTGGCTCAAGTGGCAGGGTGCCATCCTTGGGTGAAACATCTAAGGGACAACACCCAGGCCCTGAGTTCAAGCCCCAGGACTAGCACATACAGACACACACACAAGCATACACAATTTGGTCAGATAAAGATAGGGCGGGTAGGGTGGAGACACAAAGAGATAGAAAGATAACACAGGCCAAGGCCCAGATCTCAGCATAGCACATTCTTCCTGTGATGGTGATGATGAAATGGACTTGAAAGAATGTTGGAGAAGCAACTTGGCCCACAGGAATATGGGTTCAAACCGTTAGATGTCTTCACTGAAAGGCTTAATGTACAGAGGCTAGACACTCACACGGGGAGGGGAGACTGGACACTGTCTGAGTGCCAGGCTTGTGGGAAGAACATATCTAAAATTAGAAATACTACATTTTGTGCCTATACTAGGGTTTGAACTATGGGCCCAAGCACTGTCCTTCAGTGCTATTTTTTGCTCAAGGCTGGCTCCATAACATTTTCTAGCCACGCCTCCATGACCAGCTTTTTTTGGTGGTTAATTGGAAATAGGAGTCTCACAACTTTCTGCCCCAGCTGGCTTTGAAGCATGATCTTCAGATCTCAGCTTATCTCAGCTTCCTGAGCAGCTAGCATTAACGGTGGAAGCCACCAGTGCCTGGCTCACTTCCCTTTAAGTAGAGGTGGGATTCAGAGACATGCCAGGTCACACCACTGGCAAGTGTGGGCTTCCTCAGACTTCTCAGACTCCCAGACTGCAGTCTTTCTGGCAGCTCAAAGAAGAGGCAAGTGAAGAAAGGTAGCAGCACCCTGCCTGCCAACTGGAAGTGTAGTACCTGGACTTGGGGGATAAGATGAGGGACAGCACCATGTTGCTCCACAGTCCCATGGTGCCAGCCAGTAGTGTTTGGAGCATCGAGTGGGCAGGACCTGTCTGGTTACTTTTGTTGTTGTTGTTGTTGGTAGTGGGGCTTGAACTCTGGGCCTGAGTGCTGTCCCTCAGCTTTTAAGCTCAAGGCTAGCGCTCTACCACTTGAGCTACAGCGCCACTTCCAGTTTTCTGGTGGTTTATTGGAGATAAGAGTTTCACGGACTTTCCTGCCCGGGCTGGCTTTGAACCGCAATCCTCAGATCTCAGCCTCCTGAGTAGCTAGGATTACAGGAGTGAGCCACCAGTGCCCGGCTCTGGTTACTTCTGGAAGTGCTGTTTTTTTGGTGCAAATGCCCAATGACTTAATAAACCAAGGTAGGGGACATGGGGAGGAGGGTCACTCATGGCCCTGTGGTTGAACTACACACGTCCACAGAACTTTCCTCCTAGCATTATAGGCTATCCAACTGTAGCTACACCCACCAGAGTCTGATTCATGGGAGGAGGGGGGTGAGGCCCAGGCCCTCCCCATCTCTCTATCCCCTCAACCAGCTCAGGTTCTAACAACCAATGCAGAGTTCAACAAAGATCCTGGAAACCCGGAGGTCCTGCTCATCTGTGGAAAGGAACTTGCTTTGTCCTTTGAAGGTAGATCTGGTTCCAGAAGAGCTGGGGTGGGGGTGAGCAGGGGAACAGGGCAGACTTCGGATGCTGCCTTAATTCCATCCCCCTCCCCCAGGACTGAGGGGTAGGACTCCCATATGCCAGCCCTTTTCCAAATGACTCGGAGGGCAAGAAGGGGGGGGGGGGGGTGACCAGGCATCAGATACCTCAACCCTTTCCCTGCAGGAAACAAGAGTTATAGGTGGGAAGATCTAGGTAGGGAAAGTAAGTTCCCCAGTTCAGCCTGTGGGATCCAAGATTCAACTTCAGCTCTGTGGGTCATGTGTCTTCCCATCTTCCAGGCTGTTTGCTCTCTAGTTCTGGGATCTATTAACTGGCTTTTTACTTATGTCAATAAGCAACCCCTTCAGGCCAACTGAGTTAGGTATTAATTTCTGTTTGCCTTTCCTGCACGGATACCCAGCTGCTGGCACTGAGGCAAAACTCCAGCCATCTGTCCATGGGGTCCCTGACTATTGGAGTGAGAGACATAAAGGGAAGCCGGGGGTACTGGTGGCTCTTGCCTATAATCCTCGCTACTCAGGAGGTTGAGATCTGGGGGTCAAGGCTGAAAGCCAGCCTGAGACTCTGATTTCCAGTTAGCCAGCAAAAACCCAGATGTAGAGCTGTGTGGCTCAAGTGGTAGAATACCAGCCTTAATTTAAAAAGTGAAGGGACCAAGCGCCCGGGTCCCGAGTTCAATCCCCAATGCTGGCACTCTGCTCTGGCCCAATAAGAGAGGTGGACAGAGGGGAGGGAAAGGAGAAATCACACACAGCTCTGCACACCCGCTGGCCCTGAAACAATTCAAGGTTTCCCACATTCTCCAGACCAGCCGTCAAAGACAAGGCCAGGCACGGCAAGGCACCGGAAGGGATCCAGGGTTCTAGAAAGGCCTGGCTCCACGGCCTGCCCCGCTGCTAAGCAAACATTGCCTCCCAGAGTCGGGCTGGAGTGCGAGGGGAGGAACCGGCCTGAGGTTTATCGCTCCGGCAACCCCGGGTGATTCACTAAGTTAAGAGTCTCGGGTAGTCAGAGACCCGGGCAAGCAAACACACAGCCCGGAGGTTCCCCCTCCCCTGCCCTTCCCTCGCCCGGCCCGCCCGCACCTGGCTGCCCCCGAGCCCGGGACCAGCTGCCTCCCCTCCCCCTGCTGGGCGCCCGGGGTTGAACAAACAACGCCGGGCCGCCGGCCCCGCCACCGGCTGGCTCCGACCGCGCGCCGCTGGCGATCCCCCAGGCAACTCGGCGTCACGAGAACCCGCACCCCGACACCCTGCCCTCCCCTCTCGTCCCCAGGGCCCGGGCCAGGCCCTACAACCTCCGCCTTCCCGGAGCGTCTCGGCTCCCTCGGGCCTTCAGCGTAAGCCAACCTAGGCCGGACATGAGGCCCCCCGGGGGGCAGCGCGGCCCAACTCCCGCCCGGCACGGGGGTGGTGGGGGACTCAAGGGAAGGTGGCCGGAAAAATCTCTTGTTTACAGGGCCTGAAGGGCCCCGGCTGCGATTCGCCTTTCTATTCCTGCGGTTCCCTTTCGGCCGATTCTGGGGGCCAGAGAGGGAAGGGGTGGTACCGCGGGCCCGCCCCGGCCGGGGAGCGGGCGTGGAGCCCCGAGGAAGCCGATTTCGTGCACGGATTCCCGCGGCCGCCGGAGGGGCAGGGCTCGGAGGCAGAGCCAACGTGGCCAGGAGCGCGGAGGCCGCGGGGGGCCGGGCTAAACCCTGCCCCTCAGGGAACGAACTGGAGGCTGAGGACTGGTCGGAACGGAACAGAGAGCAGGGACGCGGGGTGGCGAGCGCGCTCCGAGTAGGGCCGGGTCTGGAACGCGGGGTGGTCAGGGTGGCAGTGGCATCTGCCCCACGGTCTGCAGCGGCTCTGGGATCGGCCCACGGGGTAAGGGGTGCGCGCGTGGCAACCCCTAGGTAGGAATCTGGGTGACTCCGGACAGAAGTTCTCCGGACGGGACCGCGCGTGCAAGATCTGGACGCACGGTGCGTGGTGCGTCCACGTGTGCAAGTTGGGGAGGGGAGAGGAGGCGCAGGAGACCTCGAGGGACTTTGTGTTTTGAGTGTGCTCCTCGCTCCAGCCCAGAGCGGCGGACGGTGCCCCAGGTGTGTCCCCCGAGGCCGCCAGTAGGGTGACAAAGTCTGGGTGTCCACCCGGGGGGAGATGATCCAGAGCGGCCCCCACGCCCTGTGGTAGGCGCACGCACCGGGAGAGGCGAGGCGGGGCAGGGCGGGGCGGACAGGCCGCCGCCCGCGGAGCGCGCTGAGTTGCACCCCCAAACCACTTTACAGACGAACGCGGGGCCCAGAAAGTCGGTGTGCGGGAGTGCGCGCGCGCGGGGGGGCGTGGCGGCAAACAGCAACAACCCACCCGCCGGCTGGGCCACAAACTCCGATTCCCGGCCGGAAAGTGAGCTTCGGCCGAGCCTGGAGGTGAGTTGGAAGGCGGGGGAAGGAGGGAGGGCGGAGGAGGGCGGGCTTTGTTACTGTGTAAACGGATTGCGCGTACCTGGAGCTCTGGGGGCGCCGGATCCGCGCCCGGAATGGAGGTGATGTCACGGTGATGCAGCCTGGCCCACCCTTCACCGAAGAGAGACGCCGAGCTCCCGGAGGAGGCCGGCGCGAGAGCCAGCGGTCGAGCGCGCCCCGCTTCGTCTGGGTCCCCGGGAGGCAGGCCCTGTGCCCCGCGCCCCGGCCCGGGCCCCGCCACCCTAGCCAGGGCTGGCTCTGGCCCTGAGCCTCGCGTGGAGCCCCTCCCACTCCGGCCCGCGCTCCGCCTGGGGCTGGAGTTGGCTCCAAACACTGTGCCCAAGCGGGGCTGGCTGCGCGTCCCAGGTAAGGGCAGCTAGCCGCGCGCTCCGCCCTCCCCGCCGCTGCCCGGAAGAGCTGGGTCCGGCTGGCAGGGAGTGGGCGAGGGCCGAGGCCTGGGGGTGGAGACCTGGGGGGCCTAGGGGGTCACCGATCTAACTCCTCTCTGGGTGCAGAAAGTTTCCAAATTCGAGCCAGCTGGGGACTAGGGGTGGGGTAAAAGCCCGGAGCTGCGGCTCCGGATGGAGGGCCCACGAAGGGCTTTGCGATCTGTGCTGTCCGCAGCCCCTCGGCGCGAGTCCCCGGTCCGTGGTGACTTAGGCTCGGCGTCCCCGCTGCCGCGCGCGCCGCCGTGAACGGGGTGCGCAGAGGAACGGGAGGAAGGACAGTGGGCTCACCTGCGCGGCTAGACTTGCAGGGGCGCAGGGTGTGTGTGTGTGGGGGGGTCGTGGACCCCGGTAGGATCCGGAGGGAGGTGGACCCAGGGGTCAGAATCCCCTTTGCGGGATGTTCGGAATTTCACGCTTTCTGGCTGCTCTCCTGGTAGCCCGGTATCTAGATCTCACTTGTCTTCTTTGGCTTTTCCAGCTCCCCTCCTCCTGTTTCCCCCACCCCACCCGCGGTTTTACAGCCGGGAAGATCCAATTGCTTTAAACTCCCCCGATCTCGATCCTACAGCCGGAGGGCTGGAATATAGAGAAGGGTGGTTCGGCGGGGTTGGAGCCCGCCCCTTCCCCAACAGTACGCCTTTAAACGTGGGGAGGGAAGAGTGGGGGTGGGGTGCATTCCAGGGTGACATTCCAGAGCAGACCCTTGCCTGCCTCGAAGACCAAGTCTCCCAGTGCTCAGGGCATTTTGACCCAGATGCCCACTCTTGGTAAAGGGGGGGGCACCTGAAATTTGGGGTGACTGACTCCTTACTGACCCAAGCATTTCCCTGGACCCTCCTTAGAGGGTGAGTTAACCATTGGCCCCCTGGAGGGAGGACCGGAACTAGCCTGGGGTTTGGAAAGGTGGTAGCAGTGGGTGGGAGAACAGGAGGAGCGGGGAAGGCTAGGTGGGCCGCCTGGAAGTGGCTCTGGTTACAATCCTGTAGTCCATGTCCCACTCTCTTACTCTTAGGACTATTGAGCCCCAGATGCTGGAGCTGATTTTCCTCTAAGAGTTTTCAAGGGTGTGAGGGGAGGGAGAAGGTTGTGTACTTGTAAAGGTGAGGCCTGTGTGTATCTCTCCCTCCACCCCACACACACAAGTGAAACCAGTCAGTGCTGGCTGAGCCTTTAGCCCACCAGTACTGTTAAAGCCTTTCTGCTTCCCCCGCCTCCCCCCCCCCCCCCCAAGAGGGAGGAAAGGGATTCAGGAACTGGATTGGACTGCCTCAGACCAGAACTGGGGGCTGGGTGGTTGAGCTGAACCCTGGGAAAAGCTGATTTCCGAGATGATTACAAATATGTCTAAGACTGATTTCAAAGGGATGAAACCAAAGGGCCCTTTTGTCTAGAAATGAGTCTGAAGCTGGGCCTCTCACCTTGTGGACTGCTGGAGGCTTCCAGGGTAGAAGTCCCTCTTCTTCCCCTGGGAATCTTTACACAGATGCAACTGAGGCAGAGGTGGGTCGTGTCTGTTCAGCAGATTGGTTGTCACATGCCCACTGTGTCCTAGTCCTGGTGTCTGTCTTGGTTGCCAACCTCAAACTTAACCATTTGGTAGGAGAGGCAGGTCCACAGAATGTTAAGTGTTCAAGGGCACAGGAAGCTTAGTCTGAGAGCCGAGCAAGGGATAGAGACTGGGGGGGGGGGGGGGGGGGCGAGGAAGTGCCTCTGGGCAGGCCTGGTCCCTGCAGTCATTTAGTCACCACTTGCTGACTGACGGTGCACTCTTGGGTGTCAAAGGTATTTGGCTGAGCTCCTCTGAGTTTTCTTCTCTTGAATCCTCCTGCTTGTCTCAAGGGTCCCTCTTCTAGCAGGGGATGGGAGCCAGACCCAGCCCGTCTTATTTTTCCCAGCTGGGTCTATGTATTTCTTACCTTTTTTCTTTTTTGGTAAGTCGTGGGGCTTGAACTCTGGGCTTGGATGCTGTCCCTGCGCTCTTCCCTGTGCTCTACCCCTTGAGCCACAGTGCCACTTCCAGGTCTATGTATTTCTGTTTCTCCACGTGTCCTCTATGTGAGGGGAAGCCGAGGAATGGAGACATTTCAGGATTGGGTATAGGTTGTCTCACCTGAGGCTGAAGTGTCAGAGCAGCTGAGCAACCTGGATGGGACGATCAGACTTCTGGTTGGTTCTTCCTAAGTTCTTTCTAGCAAAGCCAGGTGTGGGGGGCTCTTGCTGCAGGTTCAAAGCCAGCAAGAAAGCTTGTAAGACTCTTATCTCCAATTAACCAGCAAAAAGCCAGAAGTGGAGCTGTGGCCCAAGTGGTAGAGCAGCTAGACTTGAGCAGAAGAGCTCAGGGTCAGTTCCCAGGTCCTAAGTTCAAGCCCCATATTGAGGGATTTGGTGGCAAAGATGAGACTTGTGAAGGATGCTGTCCAGGAAGAACTTGGTCAGTCAGGAGAACTTAGGGGCAGGAGGCTGATCATGGCTCTGGGGGTCAGCAAGAGAACAGGCAAGAGCTCCTTCCCCTCCCCTTCCTTCCTCTCTTCCTTCCTCTTCACTTCCCCTTCTTCCTCTTTTCAACCCTCCCCTTTCTCCCTCCTTGCCTTTCTTGTCTTCCGCCTCCTCTTTTCTCTTTTGCTTTTGTGAAAATGTCAGGGCTTGAACTCAGGCCCTTGTGCTCTCACTCAGAGCTTTGTTGCTCGCTTCTGGTGCTACCACACCACTTGAGCCATGCCTCCAGTTTGGCATTTTGATAGTTAATTGGAAATGAGAGTCTCTCAGAATTTTCCACCTAGGCTGGCGTTGAACCACAATCCTCAAATTACAGCCTCCTGAGAAGCTAGGATTATAGGCATGAGCTACCAGTACCCAGTGCTGGAGGTAGAACCCAGGGCCTCACACTCACCAGAGAAGCATTCTACACTGAGTTAAACCCTTAGCCCTGGCTGTTGCCAGGTGTGGATCTGAGAGTTACGTTTGCATACCCTTTCCTACATTCTACTGTCCTTTAGAGGTTTTTTGGTAATGATGGCACAGATAAGGCTGTTGTGGTTTTATACTTGGCTTTGATCTTTAATCTAGGATAAACATGTCTCCAACAAATTGATTGTCGGGCTTTTTTTTTTTCCTTCCCGACTTGCCTCTTTTTGGGTGGTACTGACTGGAGTTTGAACTCTAGGCTTCTTGCTTGCTAGCCAGGTGCCCCCTCCCCTTCCACTACTCTGCAAATGTTGTGTTAGTTCTTTCCAAGATGGAATCTAACATCATGCACGGGCTGGCTGGGACTGTGATCCTCCTATTTATGCTTCCCTGTGTTGTTGAGATGGCCCATGTACATCTCTGCACCCAACCCTTTTGCCACAACTTGGGACATCTCTACACACCCCACCATTGATTGAATGCGGTCTCTCCAACTTTCATGCCCAAATCACAATCTCTGATCTTTACCTCCCAAGTAGTTAGGATTACAAGCTCGAGTCACCATATCCAGCTCAGACTCATCTCTTAAAGCAGCCCTGGATATGCCTTCTTCAGTGAGCCCCCATTGCTTCTCTAGAATGCATCACCAAGCTCTTGACCTAATGCATTTCTGTCTGTCACCAACCAGCTGCAGCCTCCTATAGGAGTTTACTCCATACTTGGTGAATCTGGATTTTTTTTCCTTGTGACTTTGGACTGAAATCAAGACATCTCTTTTGTTCTGTGTGTGTGTGTGTGTGTGTGTGTACGTGTGTACGTACACGTGCATGCCAGTCTTGGGGCTTGAACTCATGGCAGCTATAATCCCTGAGCTTTTTATTCAAGGCTAGTACTCTACCACTTGAACCACAGCTCCACTTCTGTCTTTTAGGAGGTTAATGGAGATAAGAGTCACTTGGACTTTTCTGCCCCGGGGTAGCTTTGAACAACAGTCCTCTGAGTTTAGCTTCTTGAGTAGCAAGGGTTACCAGACTGAGCCACTGGGACTTGTCCAAATCTTTTCTGTTTGGGAAGGTGCAAATGTGTCCTGGTTGTTTTCAGTGTTCAGTTTCATATTCTAACTGTACCCCAAGTTCCAGCTGAGTCTGTAGGCCATACTTCCCAAGGTTGAGTTAAACCATGTAGGATCTCCCAGATGGGTCCATATTACTCTTACCCATTAGCTCTCTCTCATTGTTTGTGTTTGTAGTACTGGTGCTTTATTGATTCAAACTACACAAAGGCCCTAGGAAAGCTGAAGTAGGTCTCAGGAGAAAGGAGCTTTTTCATTATAAACGAAGAGAAACTGGCTTTTACGATCCTTGTAATTTAGGAAAAATAATGATAAATAAGCAAACTTAATTGGACTATGAAGAGGGGGTTAAGTTGGCTTATGATACCTAAAATATTTTCAAGGAGCAAGAACATTTGAAAATTGATCATTTATCAGTTATGGAAGGACATATTATTGAATGAGATTTGGGAATTTGGGTTATTTATCGGAAATTGTGTAGCCATTGCTGGGTGTGGTGGTGGAAGCTTATAATCCTAGAACTTCAGAGGCTGAGGCAGGAGGATTAGAGTTTGAGACTGGCCTGGACTACCAGGAAAGAAAAAGAAAAAAAGAGAGTGGGGTGGGGTAGTTTAAGACCTGTAGTTAGAAATGCTACTCTAGTATCAGCCCCTAGTAGTCGCTGTCATCACAGGAAAGCTTGGTTGCTGTCTCTGGAGCCATGGGAAAGGCCTGGCTTCAACTAGTTACTTGAACATTTAGGGTGACTTAAATGTGGAAGACCTGTACTTCATAGAATTTTGGACTTTATAAACTTTCAGAACATCTAACAAAAAAGAAATCGGGGACAGCACTCTGGCCCTGAGTTTAAGCCTCAGGACTGACACAAAAAACAACAAAGGGACAATCTAGTTGGTATGAAGACCTGGTTTTTCTTTCTTTTTTGGTTGGTCATGGGCTTGAACATAGGGCCTGGGCACTGTACCTGAGCTCTTTTGCTCAATGCTAGTGCTCTACCATTTTGAGTCTTAGCACCACTTCCGTTTTTCTGGTGGTTAATGGGAGATAAGAATCTCACAGACTTTCCTGCCTGGGCTGGCTTTGAACCACAATCCTCAGATCTCAGTGCCCTGAGTAGCTAGGATTACAGGAGTGAGCCACCAGCGCCCAGCTGAGCTGGTTTTCTTTGGTGCAGATCTCCAGCGTTATTAACACCTTCCTGGTGTTAATAAAAGATATGGTTCTTAGCTGCAATGGCTTTAAATCTTCCATTAAATATTAATTGCTTTGCATTGCTTTTGCCTGGATCTAGCTTTTAAAATGGTATAATGCTTTATAGAAGAGTCTTTGTATTAGGTCATTAACACCTTAGTAAAGAGGTTAGTTTATTTGTGTGTGTATGTGTGTGCTCCTGTATGTATACATACGTATCTGTGCCTTTGCTGGTACTGGGTTTTTTGTTTTGTTTTTGGTACTTAGGTTTTGTTTTTGCTCAGGCTGACTCTACCACTCTAGACACAGTTCTACTTCTGGCTGCTTGATAGTCAATTGGAGATAAGAGTCTCTTGGGCTTGTCTAAACCAGGTTGGCTTCTCAGATCTCAGTCTCCTGAGTAGCTCAGACAACAAGTTTGGGCCATGAGCACCTGGCAGTTTATTCTTAACTTCAGCCTCTGAGCCACACAAAGAACTCGAGGCTCTAAAGAGGAAAGTTGGCACTAAAGGGGGGAAATGAAGGACAAAAAAGGGAGGAAGTGGGAGGACTGGGGAAGGTTTGGTAAACATAACTTTTAGTCTTATCTCTTCTTTTTTTTTTCTGGCTGGCAGCTATGCCTGCCACAGGTACTTGTTAAGTCCTTATTAAGTGTTTGTTAAGTACTTGTTGAATGATGAATGATTAATGTAGGAATGCATGGTTGACTAGCCAGGGACTTGGGCGTAGAATCTGACCTGAACCCTGGAAATTCCAAGGCAGAGGAGGAAGTGCTGAACAGGTTATATACCTCTAGCTCCTGGATCTCAGGGAGTATTTAAGCCCGAGATTTGATGGGTGAAACTAGTGAGAATTTTCTCATTTTCCGTGTTTAAGAATAGAGATGACAGGAGCTGGGAAAGTGGCTCAGTGGTAGAGTGCTTGCCTTGCATGCATGAGGCCCTGGGTTCGATTCCTCAGCACCACATAAGCAAAAAAAAAAAAAAAGCCGGAAGTGGTGCTGTGGCTCAAGTGGTAGAGCGTTAGCCTTGAGCTGAAGAGCTGAGGGACAGCGCCCAGGCCCAGAGTTCAGGCCCATAACCGGACCCCCCCCAAAAAAAAAAGAAGAGAGATGATAGGGGCTGGGAAGGTGGCTCAGTGGTAGAGTGCTTGCCTTGCATGCATGAGGTCCTGGGTTCGATTCCTCAGCACCACATAAGCAGAAAAAGCTGGAAGTGGTGCTGTGGCTCAAGTGGTAGAGCACTAGCCTTGAGCTGAAGAGCTGAGGGACAGTGCCCAGGCCTAGAGTTCAGCAAATGCTGGCAAAAAAAAAAAAAGAATAGAGATGACAGATGGGTTTCATCTCTGGTCAGTTGATAAGTCTTTGTGTGAGTTCTGTGTTAAGAAAGATTCTGAGCCAGGCACCAGTGGCTCACGCCTGTAATCCTAGCTACACTGGAGGCTGAGATCTGAGGATTATAGTTCAAAGCCAGCCCAGACAGACAAATCTGAGAGATCAACCACCAACTAACTGCCAGAAGTGGAGGTGTGGCTCAAGTGGTAGAACACTAGTCCTGAGTGAAAAAGCCACGTGGGAGCGCAAGCTCCTGAATTCAAGCCACAATACCAGCACCAAAAACAAAACAAACACCACCCCCTTACCCCTCTCCTCCCCCCAAAATAAAAGAAGCGTTCTGAAGCCCAAAGCTCTGGGCGATCATCTACTGATTGACTAGCACTGTCTTCCCTGGTTCTGATGGAGGAGGAACACGGTGCCTGTTGGAATCTGGCCCTGGGGAACTGATTTTGCCTTTTCTTCCTCTGACTCTAGGGACCCAGCTGGAGCCTGGCCTGGGAGCCAGGATGGCCACCCACCAAACTCTGCTGATATGCCTGGGATTGCCTCTTTTATTATTTCCCAGGACCCAGGCTCAGAACCATGTCCCACCAGGTTGCAGCCCAGATCTCAACCCCATCTACTACAACCTGTGTGACCGCTCCGGGGCTTGGGGCATCGTCCTGGAGGCCGTGGCCGGGGCGGGTGTCATCACCACGTTTGTGCTCACCATCATCCTGGTGGCCAGCCTCCCCTTTGTGCAGGACACCAAGAAGCGGAGCCTGCTGGGAACTCAGGTGTTCTTCCTGCTGGGCACCCTTGGCCTCTTCTGCCTGGTGTTCGCCTGCGTGGTGAAGCCAGACTTTTCCACCTGCGCCTCCCGCCGGTTCCTCTTCGGGGTTCTGTTCGCTATCTGCTTCTCCTGTCTGTTGGCTCACGTGTTTGCGCTCAACTTCCTGGCCCGGAAGAACCATGGGCCCCGGGGTTGGGTGCTTTTCACCGTGGCTCTGCTGCTGACGCTCGTGGAGGTCATCATCAACACCGAGTGGCTGATCATCACCTTGGTCCGAGGAGGAGGAGGAAGTGGAGGAGGGGAGGTGGGCCCTCTGAGCAATGGCAGTGCGGGCTGGACGGTGACTTCTGCCTGCGCCATTGCCAACATGGACTTCGTCATGGCGCTTATCTATGTGATGCTGCTGCTGCTGGGGGGCTTCGTGGGGGCCTGGCCTGCCCTGTGTGGCCGCTTTAAACGCTGGCGGAAGCACGGGGTCTTCGTGCTGCTCACCACGACCATGTCCATCGCCATCTGGGTGGTGTGGATTGTCATGTACACCTACGGCAACCAGCAGCACAACAGCCCCACCTGGGATGACCCTACGCTAGCCATTGCCCTGGCCGCCAATGCCTGGGCTTTTGTCCTCTTCTACGTCATCCCCGAGGTCTCCCAAGTGACCAAGCCCAGCCCTGAGCAGAGCTACCAGGGTGACATGTACCCTACCCGGGGCGTGGGCTACGAGACCATCCTAAAAGAGCAGACTGGCCAGAGCATGTTTGTGGAGAACAAGGCATTTTCCATGGATGAGCCAGGCTCAGGTAAGTCCTGGCGGACACCCTCTGTCCCTCCCTTCTTTATCTTCCACTGCAGGCCAGAGAACTGGTTGTGAGCCAAATGGAAGGTTCTTAGGGTTGTGGACAATTTTCTGCCTTCGTATTCCCTAGTGGTCCAGCCCTTGTCTAGCAAGGCCCCTGGTTCTACCCTCAGCTTTCACCAGAAAAAGAAAAAGCTCTTAAGTCATCACATTGTGAACTGTGTACTAGCATTTACTGAGCACCTACTGTGTACCAGCCATACTTTCTAACCTGATCTAGAGGCACAATCGCAAAACCCTGCCCCGATCTCAGGCTCCTTGTGTTGTTTAAGATGCTTTGAGCAAGCCAGGAACAAGGTGGCTTAGGTCTGTTATCCTAGCTATTCAGGGGGCTTAGATCTGGCTCGAGTGGTAGAGCGTTAGCCTTGAGTGGAAAAACTAAAGGACAGTGCCCAGGCCCTATGTTCAAAACCCCCAGTACCTGTACACATGAAATAAAGATACTTGGAGCAGTTCTAGTGGCTAGGATTGTTGATCCCAACATTTAGGTGACTGAGGCAGAATGATCCTGAGTTTGAGACTAGCCTGGCTACCTAGGAAGACCCTATTTTCAAAAAGAACAAAACGAAACAGAAGAACAAACAAAACTCAGTACCAAGAATTGGTAAAGAAAGAAGGTAGATGCTGTAGTCCGCTCATAACTGCCCCCAAAAGAAGAAAAAAGCTGGATGTGGTGACACATACCTGTAATCCAGGCACCTTGCACGTTCCAAGTTATTAAAAAAACACCACCAACAAAAAATGTTTAGGAGTTGAGACATGGTTACTGTACATGCTTACTGAGCATGGGGATTGGGGGCGGGGGCGCGGCGACACTGGGTGTCCCAGAATTAATGCCTGTTCCGCACTGGGAGAGTCTTTTTTTTTTTGATTTGTGTGGGGCCTGAACTCTGGGCCTGGGCGCTATCCTTCAGCTCTTCAGCTCAAGGCAAGCACTCTACCACTGAGCCACCTTCCCAGCCCCAGGAGAGCCTCTTAATCCCTGCTGTGGGGACAGGAGTGACCTTTGCCCTCTTGGACTCTGGGGCCAGTAACTCCGCCCCTACCTGCTGGCCATTGCCTCCACCCTGGGTGCTGGGCAGAACTTCAGGGCACAGCCCCCGACCTCGGGTCTCATCTTGAGATCTGTTTGTCAGGCCCATAGTTCCAGCCTTTGTTCTCGCAGATACTTCTGGGCTATGAGGTTTTTGGTGGTTGTTTTTTTTTTTTTTAAGAAAACTAAATGGAAAAATCAATAGAGCGAGGCTAGCACTTAGAAGCCATGTAGATATGTATATAGTTGTGGTCCCTGCGTGCAGAGACAGACCGGCCCTGTGCCACCGTGCGCTTGGCTACTCTTGGGCTCTGAGTTGGTCTGCAGCTTCCCTCAAACATCCCAGGGGTGCCCAGCAGGGTGGAACAGATCAGGAAATCAACACCCAAAGGCACAGGAAAGTATTCTTGGAGCTGCAAATAGTTCTGGAAGCCTGCCAGGGGGCCAAGGATGGGATGAGCATGCAATCTTTGTGGCCAGGCCCTGGATTGGGCATGCAACACAACACTGTCAGTGGCCAGCCCTGCCCTGTGGGGATTTGAAGACTTGAGCTGAGGAAGGGAAGTGGGGGTGGGGGGGAATCTCAGCTGTACCCCCGCCCCCCTGGCCCCATCCAGTGCCTGGCAGCTGTAGAGGCCAGAACTGGAGGCTGGCCATCTTGGAAGGCAGCCGAAGGCCCATGTGCCCCTCTTGGCCTCTGGCCCTGAGGGCGGATGAGGATGTGAAGGTTGCTGACAGGGCATTTTTCTCAGCTGTTGAGGGGGAGTAGGGACTGGGGGGGAGGGTGCTGTACTACAGAACCAAGCAGCATTGTGCTCTCCTCCTGGGTATCTGTACTAAGGGGCGTGGGGGTACCCCAAAGTCAGCCACTCTGGATCAGATGTCACGCCAGAGGAAGTGTGGTCCCCCCTTCTGTTGCTTGGGTTGTGGGAGGTAGATAAAGAGTGGGTGGGTGGGCCAGGCTCCCCACCCCCAGGATTCTCAAATCATACCTATTTCTCCTTGCAGCCAAAAGACCCGTATCACCTTATAGTGGCTACAATGGGCAACTGTTGACCAGTGTGTACCAGCCCACCGAGATGGCCCTGATGCACAAAGGCCCGGTGAGTGGTTCCTGGGGCTTCCCTGTGGGTAGGTGGGGTAGAGAGGGCTGATGAGTGGGGGGGGGGGAATATGTGCTTGTCACCTGCGGCATCCACCCTTCAAATGTTGAGTGCACTCCTTAATGGGTGTGTGTGTGTGTGTGTGTGTGTGTGTGTGTGTGTGTGTGTAGGCTGGCACTCTATCACTTGAACCACAGCTCCACTTCCAGCTTTTACTGATTAATTGGAGATAAGAGTCTTATAGAGGGGCTGGGAAGGTGGCTCAGTGGTAGAGCGCTTGCCTTGCATGCATGAGGCCCTGGGTTCAATTCCTCAGCACCACATAAGAAAAAAGAAAAAAGCTGGAAATGGTGCTGTGGCTCAAGTGATAGAGTGCTAGCCTTGAGCTGAAGAGCTGAGGGACAGCACCCAGGCCCAGAGTTCAGGTCCTACAACTGACAAAAGTCCCATGGACTTTCCTTGCCCTGGCTGGCTTTGAACTGTTATCCTCAGATCTCCTCCTAAGTGGCTGAGATTACAGGCGTGAGCCACTGACACCTGGCCTGGATAGATACTTAGCTCTGAACCACAGCTGTCCCTAGAGGCCTCTGACTCCCCCCACCCCCCCATCAGCCAACTAGTCCTGACCTTAAAACCTCCTTTGGGGACTAGAAGCCAGATGCTGCCTTGGGGGGAATGGGGGCGGGACAGGAAGGCTGTGGGTCAGATTCCCACTCCATATATGTTCCGACTCCTGGCTGGCAGTGGCTGCTGGAGAGGTCAGCGACCTGCCTTGGCAGGATGCTGGGAACAGGAAGCCGGAGGTCAGCCGGGGGGCCATTCCCATCCCCTCACCCCTCCTGCTGAGCCTGGGCACTGGGGTATCTGCAACTTCCAACCTCAGCTTCCAGACTGGGGAGAGCAGGCTGTGGCCAAGGGTAGGGATGGGCTGGAATTTTTTTTGTCAGATCCAGAGCACAGCCTGTCTTCTCCAGCCCCTGGCCCTAGTGGAGGAGCTGCCCCTCCACAGGCTGCCCTGTCTCTCCTGCCTCCCCAGTGTTAATGTTTGAGTATGATGTAGACTATAGCTGGGAGACGTTTCCTGCTTGGTTCTCAGAGCCTGGTCCCTGAATAAGCATCCCCTGGGAACTTGTTGGAAATGTAGATATGAGGCCTGGCCAACACTGGGATGGATTGTCAGCCTTCCTTGGCATCTGCAACCTGGGACTGGTGAAACTGCTGGAGTAGCCAGGCGGTAACCCCCAAGAAAAGTCCGCAAACAGAACATCAAGGCTCCCTACTTCCCATCCCAGTGGTTAAACATTTGCCAGTTCCTCTGGGGGGTGGCCTCCCCCATCCCTGGAGGTGTGGCTTAAACAAACAGTTACTCGGATTCTGGTTTGAGCCTAGGTTTGGGACCACCAAAGGATCTAGGTGTTGCCGGAGTGGCAGGGCGGCCACCTGCACCCCATTAGATAAGGTCTTGGGAATCTAGAGGTCTGTGGCAGTTCTTTTCCACTGGGATTTGGCAGGTGGGGCCCCAAGTTTACCACCCAGCCCCCAACCACAGGAAACCATTGCCTTAGGACACTGTTCCCAGAATCCACTGGCCCCAGCTGCAGCTCCAGAATTTAGAATATTTTTTTTTTGGGGGGGGTCCGGTCGTGGGGCCTGAACTCTGGGCCTGGGCGCTGTCCTTCAGCTCTTCAGCTCAAGGCTAGTGCTCTACCACTTGAGCCACAGCGCCACCTCCAGCTTTTTTCTTTTTGCTTATGTGGTGCTGAGGAATCGAACCCAGGGCCTCATGCATGCAAGGCAAGCACTCTGCCACTGAGCCATCTTCCCAGCCCCGAGAATTTAGAATTTTAGTCTCCAAACTAGACTCGCCGGCCCAGACTCCTACACCAAAGTTTCATGGACATAGCCAGGGCCTAACGGAAGGGCACATGGTTTTATAGTGGCATTGGATGGGGTGGGGCGTTAGCCATGATTCATCAGAGGGAGCGTGGAAACATTACTAGTGGATAATAGCAGCTCAGCATCCAGTGGACTGGAGGCTTCCCTAAGGAACTAGAAAGCAGGAGAGAGAGCTTGGGGAAGAAAGAGGGTCCCCATCTGGGAAGCTCCAAGGTGGCGGGGGTGGGGCTACAGGCCGGATGATTTAGGGGTTCCAGGAAAGCCCTCTTGTTTCCAAAAGTGGAGTTAATCATCTGAGGCTGCTCTGGCTCTACTGGACAAGAAAGAGCATGGGCAGAAGAGACAAGAAGTGAGAGCTGGAAGGCAGAAGGCTACAGGAAATGGAGTGTCTGCATGGGATTGGTCTGGGGGAGGCACGGACACTCCCCCATGACCACCTGTTGTTCCTTCCAGGCCGAAACGTCTTATGACGTCATCCTCCCACGAGCCACCGCCAACAGCCAGGTGATGGGCAGTGCCAGCTCAACCCTGCGGGCTGAAGACATGTACATGACCCAGAGCCACCAGGCGGCCACACCTTCCAAAGATGGCAAGAACTCCCAGGTCTTTAGAAACCCCTATGTGTGGGACTGAGGTGGCGGCGGCGGCAGCATGGCCAGGAGGAAACGGGGCAGATCTGGGGAGGGCCCTTGGGATCCAGCCCTGGCCAGGACCACTCCCTGCTTGCCCAGGGACCCTCGTGCTCTGTGGCTCTTTGCTGGCTCCAAGCAGCTTGTGACTCGGAGCCAGGAGGTTCCCCCATTTGCCAATGTTGACTTGGGGGGGGGTCCTCATCCTTGAGGTCCCTACCCATTCCTCAGTGTTTGTAGAGTCCAGGAACCTGTCCAGCTTGGTGCCTGGGCCACTTCCTGCTCTGGCCAAATGTGTTCTTGGGGTGATGGCCAGCCTGTGCCTACGTTCTCTGGAGGTCTCTGAGCTGGCACCGCGGGCCTAGATCTTGCTCCTCTGTGAGGACCAAGGGTGCCTAATAAACACATTTCTGCTTTGTTAACTCACACTGTGGCCTTATGCTTTCTGACCCTCTCTCTTCTCCTCCACAGCCTGTGTGGGCTTCCATCCCTACCTCCCAAAATTCAGCTCATGTTACCAGATACTGCTGGTGCCATCAGGAGTTGGCACCTCCACTCAGGGTGTTCTGAGGTGCAGGCTTCATCCATATCCACTATAATCAGAATGAACCCATGGGCTTGGCTCCTTTTTTTTTTTGTCAGTTGTGGGACTTGAACTTAGGACCTGGGTAATATCCCTGAGGTTTTTTTGCTCAAGGCTACCACTTTGAGCCACAGCTCTACTTCTGGTTTCTGGTGGTTCATTGGAGATAAGAGTCTCAAACTTTCCTGTCCAGGCAGGATTTGAACTACGATCCATCCTCAGATCTCCTTAGCTTCCTAAATAGCTAGGATTATAGGCGTGAGCCACTGTGCCTGGCTCGTGTTTGGCTCCTGCCTGGGGTGTAGCCCCACAGTTGGGCTTGTATAACCTTAGGCAGCTTTCCCTCTGGGATCTCCTCTTCCTCTACCCCTCCCCTTCCACACTGGCTGCATTTGGGGAACAGGGATGGCAGAACTATCACTCAGCAGGCAGTGTTCTGGGTTAAGAGGGAGCTCTGCTAATCTCACTTCCTCCTGGAAAGAAGAGAATGAAGGTCCCTTAGGGGATGAGGGATAAAATGACACCCTGGGAGGTAAGAAAGATGGTTCAGAGAAGGCTAGGGTCGTTTACAGTATGGATTTAACCGAGGTGCAACTGGGTCCTGGCTGGCTCAGGAATTACAGTATTCATTTGCTCAGGACTTTACTGTCAGAAAAAGCCTTTCCCCTGCAGCTGTCCCAGGAGGCAGACAATACCACCATTCTCCTTTCTAGACCCCACATCTCAGAATGGAACCATGGTAGGCTTAAGCAGAGCCTTAGGAAGTTGATCCTAAGAGACCCAGGGAGGCCGCACAGGACCTCTGCAGGTGACAAGACTAAAACCAGGTTTTCTTTCTTCCTTTTATGCCAGTACTGGGGATTGAACTCAGAGCCTGGCACTCTGTACTCCCAAGTCAGTGCTCCACTGCTTGAACCATACCACCTCTGGCTTTTTGCTGATTCAGTAGTGATAAGAGTCTCTTGTATTTTGTCCGCCGAGGCTGGCTTTAAACCAATGGTCCTCAGATCTCAGCCTCCTGAGTAGCTAGGAAAAACAGACATGAGCCACCAGTTCTCAACTTGACCAGGTTTTCTTGAGACTGCGGTGTCCTGGGTTATGGCTGGGATGGAGCTTCTGTATCCTGATCCTGTGACACAGCTTTTCTAGGGAACTGGGGAGGGGCCCGCCCATCATCCCGAGCCTGGAAATGTTTGTTTCTGACACTGGTTATAAGGGGAAACATATTTGCGTTGAAAGGGAGAGAAAGGTTGCCGGAAGCAAAAATAACTCGCAGCCTTATCCTGTGTTTAGATGGCATGTGTCCTCCTGGGAACAAACTTTATTTTGATTTAGCACTGCATCAATCGTACTTGGGCTCAGGACATTCGGATCCTTCCCCTTTGACTCTTGTTCTTTCTGGTTGCTTTAGGCTCAGTCCCCGCAAAATAAAACGAGATGGTAGACGCTCTCCCTGGACTGCACGGTATCCTGATGTCCTCTTTGCTCATGCCCACGCTGAGCAGGGCCCAGCACCTTTCTTTCCCAACCTTGTTCTTGGAGCTGGGAGGGACTGGAGGCCATCAATCGGAAGCAGTGCACTGAGTGAGGGGACTGGGAAGGCCTGAGGCACGTGACTGGGGCTCCTAGGGCCACTCTACCCTGTCTCTGTCCATGCCAGCCTCTTGTTCCCTGAGTGACAACCTGTATGAGGAGCTGGCTGCAGCTGCTGCTCACCTTCTCCTGATACTTCATCGGGTCTCATGCCTCCTGTATGTGCATGTGTGCCAGTCCTGGGGCTTGCACTCAGGGCCTCTAGCTTGGACTCTAGCTTGTTACTTATTTTTTCCACTCAAGGCTGGTGTTCTACCACTTGAGTCACCTCACTTCCAGCTTTTTGCTGGTTAACTAGAGATAAAAAGTTTCTCACATTTGTCTGCCCAGGCTGACTTCCAACCTCGATCCTCCAGTCTCAGCCTCTTGAGTCGCTAGGGTTGCAGGTGTGAGCCACTGGTACCTGGCTGACACTGGATCTGTGTTGACATTGGATCTTCCTGGCCTTGCCCATCATCCTGTTCCCACTCCGCCTGGGTGAATTTCCTGCATGAGTCTTGAGAAGCTAAACCATCCAGAAGCCATCCCCTCGCTCTTCTCCCCGGGGGACCTTCTGTCACCACACCTGGATTGTGGAAGGAAGATCATGGAGCTGGGGGCAGAGCTCAGCACAGCTGGGTGTTGTTTTTCTTCATGGCCTGTGGGTCCCAGATACCACTGGACCTTGACGGTGACCCTTACCCTGACTGAGCCTTCCCTGTCTCCAATGAACTGGGTCCCGCTGGCTGTTCTCTGCTCCCAGCTGCCCCTCAAGGAGCGCTGAGGAGTAACGTTCCTTCAAGGGGCCCAGTGAGGAATTGGGGCATTGGCAAGTCACCGTGCTCTCTCCCTGGCTCTTCTGTCTGGATATTTTTGGTTTCTCACATGGTTTACAAGGCAGCCCCTGGACCTGTGCAAGTGTAGATGTCCCTGTATTGCCTTCATTGCACAGGTTCTGGGGGCTCAGCTGACACCCACTGGAGCACCCTGTGGATGCCGGGCAGTACTCTCAGGGACTAGGTGACTTGAGGGTCTGAAGACTTTGCTGGCTCAGACTTGGGGGACATGGGGAGACCCCTGAGGCAGATGGAGTCCAGGACTGAATATCTCACTGGTTTAATTTTTGTCCGTCATGGGCCTTGAACTCAGAGCCTAGGTGCTGTCCCTGAGGTCTTTTACTCAAGGCTAGCACTCTACCACTTGGAGCCACAGCGCCATTTCCAGTTTTCTGGTGGTTCATTGGAAATAAGTGTCTCATGGACTTTCCTACCCAGGCTAACTTCAAACCTCATTCCTCAGATCTCAGCCTCTGGAGTAGCTAGGATTACACATGTGAGCCTCTAGCTCATGGCAATCTCACTGGTTTTATCTGGCAGGTATGTCAGTTTCTACCTTACTTGGGGTAGCTAATGCCCTTGGGGCACCTGGATATGCCAGGACTGCCTTCGTCACCGGAGGAGCTTGTTGTGATCTGGGCCTTAGGACCTGCTCCTGGGAGTCCTGATGGCTGCCACTCAGCTAAGGGGGAGCCATTTCTGGGAAATGCATACTTCTGGTACCAAGGGCAGAAACAGCACAGCTCAGTCTCATGGGATATCACCATAGCTTCCTCTGCCCTGCCCTTTGCCTTGCCCTTGGACACTGAACAGAACTGACTCTTTCTGAGAGTAGCATTGGGCTACTCCACCCAGCATCACCCTGCTGTGGTCAGATTACAGTCCTCCAGAGCCACCCTCATGTCCCCACAATCTGTGCCTTGGTTACTAAAGTATTTTCTCAGAGCTTACCAGGTGAATGGTCCTCACAGAGCAAGGCTGTACCCCGAGTGTGACCTCTCCCTTCACCGCTCCAATGAATCGAGTTGCAATATTTACCTTGAAGGGAAGTGGCGGGGGGAGGCCGGGGAGGGGGAGACAGGAGGGGGGGCTTCGTGTACCTCAAGACTGCTTTTGATCTGGGGTAGCAGCCTCAAGATCCCTTCCAGTGAACAAAAGCACTACGGAGTCACTAAGAATATCAGCCAGCCATGGGTGCAGCGCTTGGTGGATGGCAGGAGGGTGTGACCTGCAGGCTCAAAAAGGAGCGGCTCCCAGCAGATGAAGGCTAGTGTAAGTGAAGGCTAGCCCGGATGCAGGAGCTCCTTGGGGTCCTGAATCCTCCAGTCCTGGACCAAATGGGGAAAATGGATGCACTCCTGGGAGGAGAGTCAGGTTGTGTTATACACGTCCTTGAGTGGGAGAAAACTGGCCTGGGTCAGAGCCAGGTGCAAGTGTACTTACCAATGGCTTGATAAATTTCACACACACCCTGTCAAATCCTGTAGCTCAAAGCAGGAGTTTCCACTTCATAACTGCTTAGAATTAAAGGACTTGTTCCCTCCATCTGTGAGGGGTTCCTGCCACTGAACTGTATGTATATGGAATGTCTGTTTGTCTATCACTTTATCCAGCCTTCTATACCAGCAAAGCTTGTTTGATTCCAGCCATCCTTTCTTAAGGTCAAGATCAGGGACTTAGACTAAAGGGAAAAATGGAGCCACCAAAGACATTGAGTTATTGACTAGCTGAGCCTAGAGATCAGTTGACCTCCACACAAGAGATGGAAGGGGTAGGACCAGAGAAGAGCCATCTGTGGTGGCAGCCCTGCTGCTTCCTGATATGGCTGGAACACAGCCAGGAGAGCCCCTTGGGTGAATATGGGTGTCCGGCCCAGAAGGAGCTCTATAGCTGCCTGGTCAGGAATATCTATCACACGCCATTCCTGGCTTTTCCAGCAGACTCAGGACTCTTTGCCCTTAAAGTGGGGGGCGGAGGTACTTGAACTCAGGGTTTTTAGCTCTCACTTGGCATTTTTTGCTCAAGACTGGCACTTTACCACTCACACCACAGCTCTGCTTCTGTCTTTTTGGTGGTTAATTGGAGATAAGAGTCTCACAGACTTCTGCAGGAGCTAGAGTTGAACGATAATCCTTAGATATCAGCCTCCTGAGTAGCTGGGACTACAGGCATGAATCACCTGGTTTGGCTGTGACTTCCATGGGAGTAATCTGCAGCTAGGCCGCCAAACACAAAGCTAGGGTATTGGCTCATCTATTTTCCAGGTGAGGAAACAGGGAAGGCCAAGGGAGCTGTCCAGCATCACAAAGCAAGGAAAAGCCAGTATCTCAATCCAGTGGTAGGTTCCTACACCATGTTCTGTCCAATCTGTACAGCTACCTCCTGCTTCAAAGCAGTCAAGTTCCTGGTGCCCAGCTTCTTCCCTGAGTGCCACTCTGGCCATCACTGCCATCCTGGGAAGACCTGCCATCCCCACCTCTGACCATTAGCAGCTAGCTGCCTTTCCTGCAGGAGAATGAGGTCAGAGCCACACCCGGGCCCAAGGAGGATGAGGTCAGCACTGCCGGGCAGTGGTGGAGATGCTAAATAATTCATGCGGCTGCCGTGGTGGGAGCTGCAGCTTCCTGGCGGGCCCTGCTGGAGACAACAGACAGGAAACTGTGTCTAGTTTACCAGCACCTATGCCTGACCTTGGCCTGTCCTCGGGGAGCTAGGGAAAATGCTGTCGATCCTTCAGCAGACGTCGCTGCACACGTAACTCCAGGATGTGGGTTGAGATGACATGGTCCCTCGCCTCTCAGGTCAGACCTGGGGCTGTGGTGGATTCAGCCCACTCACTGGGGCACTCACAAGTGATGGCACTTTCCTCCTGCCCAGCAGGGGCGTCCTGGATCTATCGGTCTGCATTTGCCCCGAAGTTGGGAGTCCCCAGCAGCTGCCAGTGAACCCCAGTCCTCAGCACTATGTGCCCTAGCGTGTGTTCCCCTGGAAACAGAACTGGGCTGGTTGATGGCAGGGCCTTGGCCTGGCTGTGCCTTTAAACAGACTCAACCTGGCCCAGGAGCTCATTCACCTTCCCACGGTACAGGAAGACCCTCCTGGAGGTCCAGGTCTAGTTTCAGCGGGTGGGTTCGGCATCTGGTTCACATTCCGCCACCCACGGGGCAGCCACAGGCCCCGCCTTCTTCCACAAGCCCGCCCTCTCACATGCCCCGCCCTCTTACTAAGCTCCTGGAGTAGGAAAGGGGGAACTGGAATGGGGACGCACCACGTCACTCTCCAGCAAAGCCCCGCCCCATCCTGCCTCCCAGCCAATCCGAGGTCTCCTCGCGCCTCCACTCCACGCTCCGCCCCTCCTCTCTGTATAATCTGATTCCCGCGCCCTGGGGCTCCGGGCCAGCTTGTCCTTGTCCTCTGTCCCTTTTCTGGCTGTGGGGACTCCGGGGGCTCCCAGCCCTATGTAGTCTCCTGGGGTTGCGATTATTCTTCTTGACCTCTCCCGGGTCCCCAGTTGCGACTCTGCACACTGTTCGCGCTTCATTGTCCCTGCCACCCAGCAGAACTGGCCCCTCGGGTTTCCCTAGAGGTGGAGTGGACGGCCAGGCTGCGCCCAGACCCTTCCACTGCCTTTGGCTGGGTTCTGAGGCACGGTTCCTCAGTCTGGCACTGTTGATATATTGGGGGATATTGTTTCTGGTAGCTGCCTGGCTTCTGCCCACTACACTGCCAGCACTGGGACAATCCAAGACATCTCTAAGTATGGCATATGCCACCCCACCCCTGTAAACCCCCAGCCAGAGGGGAACAGGCACCCAGTTCACACCGCTGCCACAGGCCAGCTGGGGCCCATACAGAGCAGAATTCTGTTTCAGCATTGCTGGGCCTCCCTCTGTTGTTAAGTTGATTGACAGCTGTCTCAGGCCAGCCTGGGGGCCGTGACCCTTGGCCAAACACCTGCCCTGTCTCTCTCGTTCAGACACCTGCTGAGCCTAGCCTGTCCTGGGACAGGGGATGCTGGGGATGCAGGCAATGCTGGGGACACAGGCCTGTGTCCTGTCACTTCATCAGGCCAGCTGGAGTATTAGAAAGACTCCGCCAGCTGGAGTAGCAGGGGCTTCTGGTTTAGAGAGAGGCCAGGGCAGGTCAGGGAGCTCCCAGCAGTGGTGCCCTGCTGCAGGTCATTCTAGGGACAGGCCAGACATGAGAGGGCTGCACACACACACACACACACACACACACACACACACACAGGGTCCCTGTAGTGGGTCCTTTGTGAGGATGTTAGCAAGGCCAAGAAGAGTGCTTTCAGCAATGACCCCAGCCCCACAAGTCAAGCAGAACTTTGAGCAGTGGGCCTAGGCAGGGAGTATCACCTGGAGCCTGGCAGATGAGGGAGAAGACTTACTGTTCTGTTTCTCTTCTTCCTTTCCTTCCCTTTCTCTTTTCTCCCCACCCCC